AATATCGTAGCCCCTCATCGCTTCTCCAGTTTAACTATTATATTACACGAAAAAAAGCTACAATATTATGATATTCGGTCGGAGCATAAGTCGTTTACAGAACGTATAGGTTTCTTTTTTATGAACATACGCGGTGCGGCTATATATAAAAACGTAATTCAAATTGGATAGATAATGTCATCTTAATGTACCTAAGAATATGGTATAATAAATATAAACACGGTTACTCCGTTTGCAAATAAGAATACTACTTAACCCAATGCACAGCAAGCAGAGTACAATAGTTAACCATCAAACACCAACAGCTCGTTAAATGCCGACAAAAAAGCTAGCAACTGCCAGAAATCAAAATAACATTCTCGAATTCCTACATCAATCCACTAAAGCAATTTTGTGAGACGAAAAAAAAGTAAATACTTAAGAAATATTAAAGAAGTAATTAGTATACGAAATGTATTGTTATAGCAATAAGCAAATGGAAAACGATGTCAGTCAATAAAAATATCAATAATAAATGTGTTTAATAAATTTAGGACACTAATGATTTATGGTTAATTCTACGGGAAAGTGCAATAAATTATGTTTTTTTATTTTYAACTAATAATATATGCTTGTATTTTCTTTTCAACTACGTTGTTCAGAAATTTTCTAAGTTTTTTTTCGAATTTGTACAATGAAAATGATGATCAACTTCGGTACTATACGAGTATGGAGTATCMCATTWTAGTCATGGTTTARATTATAAATACTTACGTACATTTTTTATAATTATTTTTATCGAAGCTAAGACGTTGTGGTGATTGATAACTCTAATATAGGATATCACTGAGCAAAGTATAGAGTGTGAATCTATTTTCCATAAGAGTATTAAATATATACCTACATATTATTATGTATATACCGTATATACTATACGTATATACTTACTATAACTACTTTAACTAGTGATTCAAATCGAATCCAAAATACTATAAACTTTACTATACATAATATTATAATAAACAATACGCCAATACAGCAAAAACAAAAGGTGACATKTCTGCGGTAGATCACATCACATGGGTCACTACTCACTAATAAACTTTGAGACATATAGTATATAGTATAAACTTACTTTTCTGTCTTTAATGTCATCTACAGCGCGATACGATTACCGACGTAGTAGATACCTTATATTATTTAATACTTATACACTGATGACGATGATCTACGTCATAAATAGTTTCAACACTAATAAAAATAATTGTACACAAGCCAATAAGTTTTATCCTACAATAAACTTGTTCAATGAATTATAACTACAATTATTTAAAACTGATTTAACGTTGTTTAAATCACAACATTCTTATAATACAAAATTTAAAACGTTAAGTAATTTAAATTGTATAAAAGTAAACAAACATTTTGGTAAATTTAATATTATGAATGTTGGAATGGATTTATGTAGAAAATTAAATTTGGTATCCCCAAATGTAAAACAAAATCCATGTTAATAATTGCTTACATTCTTTGAATTTAAATAATGTTAATTTTTAAATAATTTTCACTTTTGTCATTATATTTAAAAAACTTCATATTATCTTACAAAATATTAAATGTTAATTTTCAAGTTTTAATGCTATTATTATTACGTATTATAATATTATATTTTAATTGGCTTTTTGAACTGCCCCATACCAAACATAAGCTTTTGCTTTTTTGGGAAGGATGTCATATATTGAATATCTTTTATATTTTATTGTAATCTTTAATGACGAAATAAATTACTATTACTATTATTATTATTATTATTAACGCTGCTTACATACTGCAGTATTGCTGTATCATAACTTAATTTGCACGTCAGATGAAATCAAAAAACAACTGATAAGTAGTATTAGGTACTATAGAAACTAAGGTTCAATTAAACCAATACCAATTTACTTCCATTCTAACAATTTAAAAAACATAATATTACGAAGTGATTTTTATATTTACTGCGTAATCAACAAATTTTTGGTGAACTTGTCCATATTCTATCTTTTAGTGACATTCATAAGCGTACCAAYAATTGTTGAATAGTCGGTAACCGGTTTGTGGTAATACGGCCACGGTATGTGCAAATTTGCTTCGAATTTACAATGTATAATAATTTGTCTGTCAATCACTCGATAATTTAAACACAATTAAAAAAAAAGTGTATAACCAAATATATTTAAATAAACAAAAATAAAATTGTAAAAAAAACAAACAATAATAATCATATTACGGTTTTTGAGCGCAATAAATCAATTTCTTTAGTGCTGTATCCTAGAGAAGTTAATACTTCATTTGTATGTTGACCCAACAACGGTGGCTCTCTTCGGATTGTATTACTGCTATTCTTGAATGTAACTGCCGGACCGACTATTTTAAGTTTTGCGTTGTATGAGCACTCAATATCTTGGACAATATTTATTTCCTTAACATGTTCGTTGTTAAATGCCTATAAAAATCAACAATATATCTATACTAGTACACTAGGTATATGTTTTATATTCACATTTTATTTTATTTTTAAATTAAATTATTATAAATAATAACTTGTAAAACTAAATAACGTTTATGTAAAACTATTTATTCAAAAGACCATGGCAAAACCGCAAAACTGTGCCAAATTATTCAGATACGAAATAAAACATGGCATAACTCATCTAAATACATGCTTACAATAAAAGATCTGAATTATTMTTTTATTAATTGTATGATTTTACGAATAAAATTGACGAGTTAATCATATATATAATTTGATATTCATCCTTGTGTTTAAGAAGAAACGAAGTAGATAAGAACGAGGTTATTTTCTATAATTTATCAATAAATTATTGTTAATGCCTTATTTTCATTAATAATAAACTTTTTTCTACATAAAATTACATCAGGGGTTGGAAAACTGCGGATCGCGTTCCACATGTAGTTCTTTCGATCTTAAGTTGCGAGGATGCGACTCACCACTTCCACTCGCAAAAATTAATATTTTATGTGTAAAAACAATGTTTCATAATATAAAAAAAATTATATTATTTATATTTATTTTGAAAATATGGAATAATACAACAATAAATTGAAACTTAAAACAACAACTTATGAACCGGACTTAACAAAACTCTCAAAAACATGCAAAGCCAATGTTTCCTATTGATGTAACGCTTTAAGTACTTATTTCTCTTGATGTAACCCATTAATTAATAACTKTAAATATCTGTATTATGTCTATTCAAATTTAAAAATAAAATTATATTCAAAAAATTATGAACATTTTTAGTAGCTCTTTATAATCAGAATATTTTTCAATTTTTGTGTATTTAACTTTTGGCTTTTCCGTCAAAAAAGTTTGCCGACCCCTGAACTACATATTAAATTTTATTATAATATTTGCATTCCTCCGGTAAATTATGGTGAGTTACTTTTCTAAAAACTATCMATCTAAAGTTAGAGTRATTTTATATTAATGTAAAAGGTSTTTGTAAATATATGTTATTSATAAAATTATGTGGTTAAATATCTTATTAGTTCTTAAATACTCAAACAAATATAATCATACTTGTGCCATATCATTAACGGGACCATAAGGAAAAGGTACTCCTTCAAAAATCGTCATCCACTCTTCGTTTGTTTTGGATTCTAAAATTGGTTCGATGATGTTATATAACTGTTCTCGATTCTTAACGCGACATTCATTGTTCATGAATCGTTCGTCCGTAGCTAATTCTGGAATTGATATGCGATCGCAAAATGATTTAAATTGTACGTTGTTGCCCGTACCAAAAGTAAGGAAGCCATTCAACGTTTTAAATGCTTTGTATGGAACCATACTTTCATGTTCAGTGCCCCATCGTTTCGTTAGCATGCCTTTAAAATATTTATTTTATTTTACTCAAAATGATTAAAACATGTGAACTTATAATACACAGAGACTAAGATACTTCAAATATATATTGGTGTATTAACAAACTAATATTATGTGTAATATATTATACTCGTAATATAAATTAAATAAAAGTGGTTGTATATTATAAATCAGCGCAACATTAATTACTCAAAAATCTAAGCCATGAATTCTATATTTTTTAGATATTCCAAAGTCATCAGAACTTTTATTTACGGAACATATATCATAATTTTTGCATTCCTGGTGTACTTCAAAATCCGTTAAATTTTTTTTTTTTTTACAATTTCGTATTATTTATTTTTTGACTATAGAAAATGAAACATCTTGARCTGAAAAAATAAAGGATTTCTCATGACTTGTATGAGGGTTAATGAAGAAGATGATTAAGTTTATAGTTGTTATTAAAATGGATATCATTAAACTATGATTATATTAATTTAATTTGTTAGTGAAACAATTAATTATTAAAAATAAGAGAGAATAATATAAACCGTTCAATTGTTCAGATAATATCAAAAATATTTATCTTTATTCATTTTTGAAATTGTAAGTTATGTTTTAACGGTAATTAGATACTAAAAAGTTGATGAACAACATTATTTGAAAAAATATACCAGTCAATATTTTATTACCCACAAATAGTCCATAATTAAATAATTTTACTATATACGAATTATTTACATATTGTCAATTTTTTACTAATTTTTCATACCAAACAAYTACATAACTAATAAACGATACATCAATATAGAAATATATTTCTGATGATGTCTCTATGTTGGTGATATAGTCTGTTATATTCTAGTAATTTTATTAAGTAATAACGTATTTATATTTAACTGTTAAGCTACAAGTTGCTTTGGGTATTTGAAGTATGAGACAGGTAGAACACTTTGACTTAGTACAGGTACACTTGTCGACATATACGTCAAAACTTATAACGAAATAACTATTTTRAAGTAGATAGCTAAAAAGCCACTTATCAATGTATAAAGCATTACCTGCGTTTAAATAATTTGATCCCAAATTGAACATCATTGAAAGCTGCGTCGACAATAGATCACAGTCAATTTTGTCACCTACGCCGCGATATAAAGCCGCTAAAATGGCACCATGAGCATACATGCCAGTCATTAAATCGGTAATGGGTATAGCACATTTTGCTGGAACGGCGTCACCGGTGGCGTTAATTAGACCACCGATTGAAGCAGCAATAATGTCATAACCTGGTTTTTGGTTCCATGGTCCCTTGGATCCATAACCAGTTATCGAACAAAATACTAATTTCTGATTTATCTTGCGTAAATTTTCGTATCCAATGCCATGTCTAACAAAACAGAAACAAGCCGATTAAATACGATTGTTTTATCCATAATATACCAAATATTGTATTGCCATATACAAGTAACCAATCGTAATAATACAATTTAATGCCAAGTTATAAAACTATGCGTCTAACCAGTTATGGATTATACCAATATGGTTATCATATACGGTGGTAAACTACTTCAATTAATTATTTCGTAAAATATAAATATCTCAGTTGGCCTAAATATCCATATTTTACATTAAAATAATTATCAACTTCTAAAGATTTATTACGTTGAAATTGAAGCTTTAGTAGATTTAGCCACTTGGAACTTAGTTGTTTAGTATACATACWAATACGATTGTTATAATTTATAATATAATACAGTAATACAAGTATAATATAAATGTAACATACAACTGGACTGCATCAGGAACTGAATATATACCTAGTGTGACATTTTATTAGAGTCTGACTTTTTGCATAAATTAAATCCATATTATTATATATTTATRTGCCATCGTTGACGTTATAACAAACGATACATGCGATACGCGCATATTAATATCCGTGTAACAACTGACAGTAATGAGTAACGACCGAACATTATTATGGAAGGTTAATTATAAATTCATAAAATGGTTTTWATTTATACCTAAKATTTCAACATTTAATATAAGATATCTTGCCATTAAAAAAAGTTTAACAGAAAATCTAATTAATTTTTATAAGTAATTGAAGTTCAAAATTTTTCGACTTTCATTATATAATTGAATTCAAATTTAACAGTTTCCATTACAGCGACCCACATGACACCTAATTCACAACAGAATGATGGTACTAACTTGCCTAGATTTTTTTATCTTTTTAATTTACCTTCACTTTTAGTCTATATAGTCTATAGGATTAAATAATAAAAATAAGTCGCTCATAAATGTTTTTGTAACCAAAAAAATAGCTGCCAATATGGGCATGCCGGGTACACTGTAAAATATTAGTCCACCAATACTACTAATTTACTTAAACCCACGAATTTATTTATTCTACTAATTTGAGTTCATTAATAGATTAAATAGATTGAATTTATTTAATAAGAAAATTATTTGAAACTTTTTAAAATTATACTATAGCTTTTATATCGATTGTGATATATTGACATCATATAAACGGTGTAGTTTATAATTTTTAGTAAACAATTTTGAATTTTTATATCATAGGCACACTCRTTCAAAACTCCTAATGTATAATTTATTTAAAAATAGACGTAATGTCTAGCATGTTCAAAGAAATAATGTAGGTAATAGATACCTAATAATTACATTATGAGAAAACGATGAGAAAAATTAACCAAATAATAAAATATTGTGAACTGTTTAATATGATTATGCTTAATTATACAAAAACAAATAAAWGAACAACATCGAACTATTGAACTTCCTAATCATTATGTGATTTCAAAGGTAGTAGTTCAATTTTGTGAACAGACAATTAATAGATAATGTAAACAATTAACATAAGAACAATTTCAAACCAATATTTATGMATTTAGGTTTGTATTGGGTTTTCAACCATAAATAATTTAACTCTAAATTCTGGAATATATTATTATAATATGCATTAAGTTCCATTTAAATTATTATAAATATTAAAATGCAAATTTCGACACCATTTAAAACCACTAGAGAATTACTTCAAATTGTTGATCCAAGATCATAAAGTAAAATCCGATTTCATAAAAACACAAATAGTTTTAGCTAATCTTAATTTTACTGTACTATATATACATATTGTTTTATATTATGATTACCTACTATAAATCCAATAAAGTGTCAAATTCAGTATTTAGTTTTGTTAAATAATTGAGTAAAATATATTATAATCGAATTATTTTTAAGTACTTGAATACATAGTTTAGATACTTTCTCAAAGAATCTRTATTTAAAAACCAAATACTACTTGTCAACTGCTTACTAAATTCTTTTTGGTTTATATACAGTGTGATCACGATGAGTGGAAACACTCAATAACTATGTGTAGGCTTCATATATTTCAATTCTGCTTTTTCGGCTAACTAATAAACATTATTAAATAGGTATAACATAAAATCAAATTGCTATAACTCGGCCATTATTTGACTTAGAAAAGAAATTCAACCAAGAAAATTCATAAAAAAATACCAAAAAAAATAATTGGATAAAAAATGGTAAAAAATGGATCATGCTATTTAAAAAAAAAATTTGTTGTCAGCATGCGCAAAATTAACTGTCAAAAAAATAGTCTTATTGTTTGAAAATGTGTATAATAATGTTTATTAGTTAGCCGAAAAAGCAGAATTGATATATATGAAGCCTATAACACATTAACACATAGTTATTGAGTGTTTCCACTTATCGTGATCACACTGTGTATTATATTATATTCTAATTTTAATCACATTCAATAAAAAGTAAAGAAATCGAGAATTTACATTTATAACATATTTTTGAATGACTCTCATCCAAAATTTCAAATACTTCGACTAAAAAAACAGAAGCGTATTTTATAGGTATTTATACCAAATCATTAAAATATTATTTTCTACAAATATCATTAGTGTTATTTATTAAATAAATATTTCTTTTAAATGTGTATTTTTATTTACGCATTCCATGAAACAAGTAAATTGTTATWTTATAGGTATACTGTACCTCGGAATAACTTYGGATCAAAATTATAGCTAAAAATAATGCTTATTTAATTCAAAAAAGGAAACGTTCAAAGTTTGTCTCAGGTCATAAAATTGGTATTTTWGTCCAATTCAAAATTATTAGTCGAGCTTCAATCCCAGGTAGTTATGAATATTTTAATCCCTTGTTTTACAGAATATCGTTATTAAATTATTTTTATATATGAATATGTAATATTTTGGCTTGTAAAATAAATATTATTTATTAAAAATTTTAATTCAACCTCTAACCTTGAATACCTACGTATTTTTTAAGTATTTCTGTAAGGTATCAGTTTGATATGATATTAAATATAAATAATATGTATAATTAATATTCTAWTTTTATTTTTCAGATCTTTAGAATTTTAGTTTAATATAGATAAAATAATATAATTAATTTACGATGTGTTCAWAGAGGTTAGAAACTCCTTAACTATATTTTGTATATTTTAATACCTATTTAAATATTTATCATATACATATAGACTCTATATGTATATGATAAATATCTATATTATAGAGCAATAATAAATAACACAGCTGTTTGTTTATTATAAGTTAAATATTTAATTACATCTAATACTGATTATATCAAATTATCATTTATTGTTCTTTTTCAAACTTTTTTGACCACCGAATAAAATAAAATAACGTACACTGGAAGTTAGCAATTAATTACTTGCTTCCGAAATATTGGTGTTTATTTTTGAATTGCTGTTATAAGTAGTTACTAGTATATTGAACAATAATTGATATCTATTCGATATTTATCAGGAAAAATGAAATTAAAGAATATCATTGACTTTTTATTATTAATATTTCTGATATTAATTATTAGAATAACTTCCGAGCTCTAATATTAATAAMCAGTGAAAACGGCCAACTGCAGTAGCCTTATTTTCTTCGTTCGCACCGTATACAATAATTAMAATATTTCCATGTAATACAAGCTTYAATAGAGATCCGTAGACGAGTTATTACGGATAAGTGGAATTCATAGAAACTCGTTAGGATTAGGTTAGTCATAAAGTCCACGATGTCGTTGGTAGGGATGTTGGGGCATATGGCCTGCTTTCTTAAGACTCTGAATTTTTATTTTATTCCCGTCCCGTGGACCCATATGTGTCAGTATGTGGCGCAGTATATACATACCCGTATGAAACATCATCAAATTTGGACAACGGCAGCTACCATAACATCAGTATAACGTTAAAGAAACAATTAACGCAATGTTTCAAATTAATTTGAAACGTCTCTGAAACATAACATTTATGTGACAAAATATTGCACAGTGGGATCTCACCTGTCCAACGTGCCGGGTATGTAGTTCTCGATGAGCACGTGTGACTGCTCAACCAACTTTCGAATGATCGCCCGGCCATCTGGCTGCTGGAAGTCCACGCACACACTTCGCTTGTTCCGGTTCAGCGAGACGAAGTATAAGCTCAAACGGCTCTCGCCACCACCACCGTTGCCGCAGACGTCTACAAACGGCGGCCCGTAACTACGGCTGTCATCGCCGGTCACCGGTCTCTCGATTTTTATAACGTCCGCGCCCATATCAGCTAGCACCATCGCACAGTAAGGACCAGCAGCCACCCTGCTCATGTCCACCACCCGAACGCCGTCAAGCGGTCGTGGACCCGAGCCATCGTTGCTCGTAAAAGTTGCTCGACGAGCCGCCGCCGCAAAAAAAACCGATCGGTCGCACGTTCGACGAAACATAATTTAATTAAAATTGTACAAAACGATTGAATGCGCGACGACGATCTGTGTATAGTGATATTATTATTGTTGTTTTATAGATGATCTTGCACTGCAGTGTCCCATTGGTCGTCGGTGTTTATCGTTGCACTCAGTAAATCCGCAGCTCACACTTGTGTCATAAAATATATGATCATACCGTACGCCTGTCGGACTAATACTGTAGTTGCGATTATTAATTTTTATCAATCCGTTCGATTTCCATATCGAACCCGAACTCTCAACGCCACGTCGCAGTGGTACCATCCCACGAATATTATACTTTTTTTTCACTATATAATAAGTATTTACAGATTGTTTCAACAGATTTCTTTTCCAATTTCAAAAAATGTACATTTATTTTAAAAATGATTATAGATAAAATAGATTGGGGCGAAGTTATGAATATTCTCAAAGTTGACTAGTTGTAACACAATTTATAGATATAAAATTTAGGTAAAGGTAGTAAGGTACCTACCTACATTTTTTATTTTATTATCCCAACATTATAACTGTAGACAGTTCTAAAAATACTAACACGTTTATCAGTTGTCAGCAACGAAAACAAACTTGATAATGGGTATATACAAAGAAACTTCCRATTACCAAACATTTTCAGTCACTGAACTTTTTTCCGCAACTCGGAAGATTAAGCCGATAGAAAGCTTGTAGTTTGTTATCAAAAACCATCCACTATTTTAACGTGTCTATTGGAAGAGATGTCACTATGCATAAGTCGTCTCGTTAATGTTTGCTGTGCAATAAYAATTCACAATCCAATAAAGACTTTTGAATCATGCTGTATACAATCATATACAATAAACCTACTACCTACCTACATAATATGCCTCGCAACGACGATGATTTATGTCCATTATGCCCTATTATATGTAATATATAACACATAATTATATTATATTTTTTTAAATGACGCGTTAATCTATTATATGTTACCTTTTTAAATGATGATAGTGGCTATAATGGTGGTTACCTTTTTTGYATGTTGAATCAGCAGAAATCCAAAAAAAAAAATTGTACTAATAACTATACAATTTCAACAGAAAAAGTTAATGAATAACGTAGTGGTAGGGACAATGGTGGGTCGAAATGATAACGACTGAATATTTGTCCAATTAATTCAATTTCCAACGGAAAAATTATGGGTGGTACTGGTTTGCGCACAAATACCAAAAAGACAACTTGTTTGGGCACAAAATTACCACTCGTTTGGGAACAGTTGAACCGTAACCAAGCACATGGTTTGGGCACAGTTACCTTTTAGCCTAACCTTTTAGACCTTAATAGTTTAATACCTAGCATATTAATATTTGTTTATTTATAAGTAAATTATTGAAGTACTTACATACATTTTCCTTCTCACTTAACAGACTTAGGACTGTCTATGAATATATTCATAGGTATGGTTAAAAATGCATGTTAATACTTGCTTTTTAATAATAATTGTTAATAAATTTATAATATGTTAAAAATGCATATAATATAATACTTGTTTGTGTAAATTTTAATTTTAATTTTAATATAATATGATTGGTAAACGTGCCTATTATTTTCCGTAAAAACAGTTTTCCATTATTTTTATGTATTTCATTTGGTCTATTTCGCCAAATCTATATCTTGTCCATAAGTTTATGCGATGTTCGACTGATTCTATTAACTCCTTACTCCTTATTTTCGTGTGCGCAAACCAGTTGTACATTTAATATAAATGTGTGCGCAAACGAGTTCCGATTTTTCAGGTAAAAATTKTAGAATGTGCGCAAACAAGTTGCAGCCAAAATTATAACGGCTAGATCAAGGTGGACMTTTCCTGGAAGTTGGGTATCAGTTGATGCTAAAGTAATCCAGCAGCAGACAGAATCTAAGTGTGCTGCATCACATACGCTTGCCATTCATCGTAGTTTGCGTTACTACTCGGTCAAGGTTCTCGTTCTTCTTCAACCCCACGTACATCATTCGCTATTTAGAACTAGCCGAAGAAATACGAATAGGTAGCCAGTTATTAATGAGAGAGGAGAGTTGGTTTGTAACATTCGTATGTGTAGCAGAAAATTGTTACTAAGAACCCAGATAGTCGCACATCTTTAATTAGTGATATTGGCCGAAGCTAGCACCTAGAACAAGGTTGTGGTTGACCATACACCAAGCTACAAAAACAAAATCATTATTTGACTTATATAATAGCATATTTATATATTATTCTTAAATTATAAGCCGAATTGTCAACTACCTAGGTACCAAAAAATATTTACTACAACTCTTCAGACACTATAAATAATTCCAATTGTCAAGTTATATGAGTCAATGGCATAGCCAAGAGCTGCTAGTGAGCTGCAGATACCCCCCTACCATCACCCGAAGTTTAAAAAAAATCTCATACACAATCAACTAATAACTATGGTTTRATCATCAAAAAAAGTTGTAGAACTATCTAAAATAACTAGTAATAATGTGTTATTCGTCGTCTCGTAATTGACAGTATTCTCATAAATCATATTTCTTTAAAATTAAAGTATACCATTTAACACTGATAAGTACTTATATTGCATAAGCATTACGCCGTAGGTAAAATAAAAATGTGGGATATGTACGTAGGTACCATGTTYAAAGACAGATTATTGGAAATCACCAGCTGTTTTCATTTCAGACAATCAAAAACTTTACAAGCACCTAAAAAATTCTAACTTAATCTAAATCTAGCAAAACAATACCATCATAAAATATTTCTTTCAGTATTATTTAAACTTTATAAATTATATTACTATATAACTCAATTGGCAAAATAAATTATGAATATTATGATGTTCTATCATATTTATTTTCTTTTAATTTATACTGCTGCATTAAGTTATCCATGAATTAAATTTTTTTCTTTATTTACTGAATATACGTAATATCTATAATCTATCTAATTGATATACATATACAGCCATACAGAACGATTGAACAAAAATGCTTACTCCCATTTATTCCTTCAAGAATGAAATAATTTATTAGTCCCCCCCCCCATACACACACACCATCTACTGAAATTTCAAAAATTTCAAAAAATTAAAAAATTATTTCAATAGTCTATGAAAGTTAATGCAAATACAAATTTGTCTAGCCGTAGGTACAGAAAACGAAAGCTAAAATAAAACTTTGACATCAGTATGTTTAACTTATGGGAGACCTTTATTGATAAATCAACTCTGTTTAAAGACATTATCAAACCCTTTCCACCACAAAGAAAATCCTGGCTACACCACTGATATGAGTATATGACTCCAACTGACGATTGTACAAACCTGTATTGTTTTCGTATAAAAACAACGTACATAAAAATTGTTTGATTAATGAGAAATACCTAATAACTAATACCCAAATATAGTCTTATCGTCGAAAATAGTTTTATAGCTGTTTAAAATAGTTAGTAATAAGTTTTAATCTTCGTTAATTCGTACGGTACTCGACGGTATTCCCATAAATCACACTTCTTTATCATGAGCATCCTGCTAAAAATGAACGGCATTACGATAACATAATAATAATATATCAATTATCTATATATTATAGGAAACATGTTACCCAGAGGCTCACTATTGTTAAATATTTGTTGTGACTTAAGGTCACCCTAGCCCACATCTTAATCCGGATTTGCAGTCGCACAACACATATTATACATAAATCCACAATTTTTTCAAGAAATATTTAATTTAATAATTTATTAAATACATTTTAATTTTTTTTATTATTTATAAGTGTATAACTTTTAACTTATCAGTTACAACTGAAATAAGTTTATTTATAAGTACTATAAAACACTTAAAAATTTGGGCTTGTTATTTTAAGATTTAAGGATATTTTTGCGAAATTCAATGTATTTGTTATTTACTGAGTATATTCTTAGAGAAAATCGACATAAATAATAGTAGATAAATAATTTATCGTTATGAAGATAATTTATTTATTCTATATTATAATTTAATAGCACAATGATGCATTTTAAAATAATAAAATATTTAAAAATTGACAAGATAAATATTTGAGTTACTTACATTTTAAATGAATGCCTCCCTCTTGATTTTCAGTCTGAATCCGATTCCAGTATTATTAATCACTACTAAGTTGTACTKACTAATATAGATACTTATTATAAAATTTAAAAAATAAGGTAACATCGATGAAAAAAACTATTTCAAATTTCAAAATTATGTAGGTACCTATACATAAAACAATTAGTATGTTTAATTTTATTTGAAATGGAATAAATTTATCAACCAACCTTGACATCTATCAACGATTTAAATGTTTTTGTTATCTTCTTGATATAAATAATAATA